TGGGGTTCTGCTGCAGGGTCAGTGCTGACAGCCAGGGTCCCAGAGGCACATGGGAAGCCATTAACTAGAATAAAGGACTTTGTTGCCGTAGCCGATTTGGCTCCGTGGATAGAGCATCGGCCTGTGGACTGAAGGGTCCCGGGTTTGATTCTGGTCAAGGGCACATGTCTGGGTTGCGGGCTCAACAGGGGGCGTGCAGGAGGCAGCCGACCAATGATTCTCTCTCATCATTGATGTTTCTATCTCTCCCTCTCCCTTCCTCTCTGAAATCAATAAAAATATATTTTAAAAAATAAGTAAGCAAAGGGCGTTGTGTTAGATGTGTCCCCTGAGCCTGGCACATGGCCTGGCGTACAGCAACTGCTCAGTGAGGGTGTTTGAAACCTGCCCTCAGCGTCACCCACAGCACAGGGCAAAACAGACCAGCCCTGGCCGTCACGGGCTCACAGCCGTTGAACCTCCTGGTAAGGAAGGGTACGCCAGGGTCAGGAAGACTGTGCGGGGGACCCCACTTCTCCAGGCAGGGAGGCCGAGTCTCTCCCTCCCCACCCTACTGTGCCAGCGCCTCAGTTTTACTGATCCAAGGTCAAAATGAGGGAGGCTGGCTGAGGGTGAGACATAAGAGAGGGGTGGGGACTGTGGCAACATCATTGGCATTTGAAACCTAGTGTTTTCAGGAAGTACCGAGCCAGCCAGTAGGAACCCGGACATACTTGAAGGCCAAGTTTGGCTCACGGCCCTGGGTTTGCCATGGCCAGCATCTTGGGTGCTATTGGATGAGCAGTTTGAAGGCCAGAAACTAGTTTGGCTCTTTTAAAAAATATATGTATGTATTTATTGATTTCAGAGAGGAAGGGAGAGGGAGAGAGCGATAGAAACATCAGTGACGAGAGAGAATCATGGATCGGCTGCCTCCTGCACTCCCCACACTGGGATGGAGCCCGCAACCTGGGCATGTGCCCGGACGAGAATCGAAGCGTGACCTCCTGGTTCATAGGTCGATGCTCAACCGCTGAGCCAGGCCGCCCGGGCTGGCTCTCCTCTGATTGTGGGTGTGACCTTGGGCAGATCACTGGCTTCGGTCTCCCAGTGCGCGCTCAGAAGGGCTGGTTGGGCCACCTCTGAGGCTCTGTGCCTGGAAGGTGCTGGGACAGACACCAGCACGCAGTGAGGCCACTGCGGCTTTAAAAGTGCCTCGACAGCCCAGGAGGGGGGGGCGGGGGCGGCAGCGAGCCACACGGGCCACCTGCGGAGCCGTCCTCAGCTGGGAAGATTAGTCTCTTCCACTAGACAACACCCATTACCGTGTTCCAATAGCCATCACTTCCGCTAGGAGAGCTGCAGATGAGATATCGATTGTGCTGACCCCAGGCGAGCCCTTTCCCCAGCCTGAGAGGCGTGCAGATCAGCTCGGTGCCCGGCCCAGGCCCAGCCACTGGGGCTGCAGCTCCTCCCACAGCCGCCAGGCACTTCCAGATCCTGGTGAAACGGACTGCAGGCCCCACCGGGTGGGCGGGTCTGGGCTGGCTGAGGCCCAGCCCCTGAATCTTGATTCCACGCGCTCTTTGCTTCCAAGAGGGGCAGGTGGGGAGAAGGCCTGTGCGATAAACAGCTGCCCAATGAGAGGGGAGTTTCACGTGGGCCAGGGTGTGAAGCTGAGAAAGGACGGTCAGCTTGCAGCGGTTCTCAACCTGTGGGCCGCGACCCCTTTGGGGGTCGAACGACCCTTTCACAGGGGTCGCCTAAGCCCATCGGAAAACACATATATAATTACATACTGATTTTGTGATTAATCACTATGCTTTCATTATGATCAATTTGTAACAATGAAAATACATCCTGCATATCAGATATTTACATGACGATTCATAACAGTAGCAACATTACAGTTATGAAGTAGCAACGAAAATAATTTTATGGTTGGGGGTCACCACAACATGAGGAACTGTATTAAAGGGTCGCGGCATGAGGAAGGTTGAGAACCACTGGCTTAGAGCCTCCTGAGGGGCCATCGGGCCGGGCCCTGGGAGTGGGAAGTGAGAGGCGAGGCTGCTGTTGGGGCAGGACGGTCTGATGTCAGCATTTGGGTGGACAGGAGGAGCTTTGGGGGCAGGAGGTGACAGATCTCAACGCCACCCTTGTCCCCTTGATATGTTAGCCTCTTCCCTAGCAGACCGGTTCCTGGCAGCTCCAGAGGGCTGCTCCCTCTCCCTCTAGTCCGGCACTGGAGAACTGGAAATGGGAAGGCCTGGGCCTGGGGGCAGAGGCTGTGTGCGCCCCTCCCTGCCCACGCTGCCATCCCCCGTCCTACAGCCCCGAGCAGGCACATTGCCCATGTGTGAGCTGCAGACCTTCATGGAAATCAGCTGAGAGCGAGGGAGCGGGACAGGTGCAGCCTCCTTCGTTCATGCCCGCCTTCCTCATTCAGAGAACCTGCAGGGCCCGGGAGCAGTCCCAGCCCAGAGCTCGCAGCAGACCAAGCAAGCTGCCCCCGCTGCCCTGCCATCAGTGCTGTGATGGGGGCAGCCCCCGTTGCTGTGAGCTTCCTCCTTCACCCAACGTGCCCTCATAGGTTTTAAAGGGAAGGCATGATTCTCCTTTTCCTTCTTGAACCCCTGTGATGTCAAAGCAGCCTCACCGTGGCGCCAGGCAGCCTCAGGGGCACGGGAAACGCTCCGCCTTCATCTGAGTGGTGGTGACCCGGGGGAAGACTCACCCAGCCCGTCCACCCGAGGTTTCATGTATTTTTCCCTGAGAAATGGGGTTCTCCCTTCCTCACGTGACAGCTGTGAGGCTCCCGAGGCATCAAGGAGGGAAGAGGGGCTTCTGACCTGTCCGCCCAGGGCACGTGCGAAGGGCGGTGCCTCTCCGAGGAGGAGCGATGCCCCTGGCTCTGCCGGGATGGCCCGCCGGGAGCCTCAGTGGGCTCTCCAACATCCCTGGGCGGAAGGGCCCACATGCTCCCATCCTACGAACGGAGAAACTCGGGCTCAGGGCGGCGGAGGTCTCACAGGGAAGGGGAAACAGCCAGGATGCAGTGAGGTAGCTCATCTGGTCCCTGAACGGTTCACGCTGCCCCTCCCACCTGCCGCCCCTGGAGAAGCCTTTGCTCCTCTGACCAGCGCTGTCCCCACCCCAGCCTCGCTCTGTTCCGGCCCAGCGCTTTCCTGGCCCATGCTCTTCCCAGTTCTTTCACACTGGCCACTACCCCCTCTCCCCCAACAATTACATTAGGAAACAATATTTATTTTAACAGCTTTATTAAGATATAACTTAGCCCGGCCGTGGTGGCTCAGTGGTTGAGCATTGACCTATGAACCAAGAGGTCACGGTTCGATTCCTGGTCAGGGCACATGCCTGGGTTGTGGGCTCGATCCCCAGTGGGGGGCGTGCAGGAGGCAGCCGGTCATTGATTCTCTCATCATTGATGTTTTTCTTTCTCTCTCCCTCTCGGAAATCAATACAAATATTTTAAAAAGCCCTGACGGTTTCAGTGGCTAGAGTGTCGGCCTGCGGACTGAAGGATCCCGGGTTCGATTCCAGTCAAGGGCATGTACCTTGGTTTCGGGCACATCCCCAGTAGGGGGTGTGCAAGAGGCAGCTGATCAATGTTTCTATCTTATTGATGTTTCTAACTCTCTATCCCTCTCCCTTCCTCTCTGTAAAAAAATCAATAAAAAATATTTTAAAAAATACTTCAACCTAATAACTCTGCAAAAATATTTGTAAGCCTAGAAATATGTGACTGAGAAGAAATATACTGAGCTTAAGCAGTGTTTGTAACTGGGTGGTAAGATGATGGGTGGTAGTTATTTTTATAGGATTATTATTTTTTTAAGGACGATGAGCATGTCACAATGGTTAAAGACATAAACACACAGGATTTCGGGGGTCAGCGAGGCCGGGACTTGGTTCTTGGCTCTGTCGCTTGCTGGCTGAGTGAACGCTGGCAGGTCAGTTTCTCTGCAGAATGGAGATAGAAGAGTCTCCACAGTACTGTTTTGAAGATTCAATGAAATAATGTGAACAAAGTGTGCAGCTTTGTGCCTGACACAAAAGTTAATATGAAGTAATTCCTTTATAACTTATGTAATCAGAGAAAAAGTTTTGAAGGTAAAGCTTCTTTGGAAAGAAACCCTCATTGACGAAGGCTGTGGAGTGGAGGTCAGAGCCAGGGTAGGGCCCAGAGCAACCAGCGCTCAAGTCTTCCCGGTAAAGATGCTTTTGGTTGTAAGTAGCAGCAACTCTCTCACCAAGCTTAAGTCCTAAATCCGGGGTGGGGAACGTCCGGCCTGCGGGCCGTATAAGGCCCGTGAAATCATTGGGTCTGGCCTTGCCAAGGCATTAAGGGTGAGTTAATTAAATGTTTGACCAAATACATAGCCTTGCTTTTGGCCATTTTTCCAGGTGCAATTCCTGGGAGTGAGATTCTGATTGGCCCAGCTCTGGGTAGGTGTCCATCGTGTTCCAATCAGACATGACCAAGGGGGTGGGGTCACAGCACACACGTGGCTAGTGGGGCCCAGTTTTGGAAAGGAGATAGAGGGAAGCTTGTAGGCCAGGGGGACACCCAAAGCACCCACTCAATTCTGCATCTGCTTTTTCTCTCCCTTCCCCTGGGACTTCTTTTTACTGAGGGTTCTTCCTCCACCATTCTCAGCAGCTCACTGTGCACTGTGGGCTGGACAGCTCCCAAGGGTTATCTAAGCGCTTCTTGGTTTCCCTGGCACGTGCCCCAGGGCCACAGTTGGGGACAAATGCCAGGCTGCTGGCTATAGTTGGACCCAGGTGGGCATTTCTGGACCCCCCATTTCTTGCCGGAGGAGAGAGGGGTCGATTCTTCCACACAAACAGATTCTCAATCAGAAGGTGGCTTTTGGGGGCACTTCAATCACAACACACAAAGGTGGGGCTAAGAAAGACATGATTGTCTACACACGTGCGCACACACGCTCTCACGCTCTTACCTCTGTCTCTGCAGAAATAAAGAAACAAAAGACTAATGTATCTTGTTTTTTATTTGTCATCTTATAGCTCCCCACCATAGCCACCCCCCACCCTTCCCCTCACTGACCACTTTTGTAGGCTACAGGGGACCAGGGAACAAAGCTGGGGCCTGGCACCCCCACTAAGCTGCCAGCCCCGCCCGGGAGAACAAGTCACAACTACAAATTATCACGACAATTAGCGCCTGTACTTGGGAGATGGGCAAAGCGAGGAGGCCCAGCCGCATTGTCAGCTGGTCTATTTGCCGGCGACCTTGCTCTGGAGGCGATGATATTCCTTCAGCCTGTGGACCAGATTCGGAACAAAGAGAAATGTAAATGAACAATAACAACACGCACTCCCCTCAGTGAATGCAGGCAGAGCGGGGGCCTCGGGGGCAGCTGTTTGTTAAGACGTGTGTGAAGTTGTCCTTTTTCCTCCCTCCATTCCCTCTGCCCTCCAATCAGGATAAGGTAATTAATTTATTTTAAGGTGGGGGGGGGCACTGCTTGTCATTGTTAAAGACAAAACATTTAACTGGCAATGGGAGACAGGAAGAGGCCATTATGAAAACCCACTGTGTTTGGAGACATTTAAAAAGGTTTGTAGTCATAAAACACAAAGAGAGGGCAAAGGAGGCAGGGCGGTGGAGGTAGCTGATTCTCGGAGGGAAGAGCGTCCGGGGTGGTGGGGCTGGATCTGAAGACTCTCCCCATCTTGACCGGCTCTGGGAGGAAATGGTGTGTTCCTGGTGCATGTGTCCCACCCAAGCCCCGTGAGAAGGAAGCTGGTGATTAAGAACACACGGCGGGACAGACAGCCCTTCTGGACTCAGCATCCCGGCTTCCTAGCTGTGTGACTATGGGCAAGTTACCGAACCTCTCTGGGCCCGTTTCTGGAGCTGCATTTTGTGTAAGAATTAAATGAGACAACCTAGGAGATGCCTGGAAGTGGCTTGGTCTTTGGTAGCTGCTGGCAATCAATGCCCCCGTTTGCCCCTGTGCATGCCAGCCCCAGGGTCACGCCCAGGCGGAGGGCACGCTGCCCGGCTCTTCCCGCATGCTTGAGTTCCACGAGCTCCTACCCAACTTTCCCTGCACCTGTGAGCAGGCACAGTTCACCACTCCATGTGGGATTCCCGCGTTCTGAAGGGGTCTGAGACCACCCTGCAGTCAGGGTTTGAACCCAGGTCTGAGGTTCAGATGTGTGCCACCCCATTGGGTCATGGAGAGCCACGTGGCTAAGATGGCTCCCAGCTGGACCTGCAGCTCAGTATGGCGACCTGAAGGCAGGAGCAGCCAGTGACCTGCTGGGGCTCC